AGTAGAATATATGATAAATATCGCACTGTTGAATAAAAAATAGAAGACATATTTTTTTTCATCGTTGTTGTTGCTGCACACGGGCAGCACCCCCCATTATTTTATATACATATTCTCGAGTATATAAAGTGCGCCTCCGCACGCACGCACGCCAGGCTGGCAGGTTCACCTTTGTCACATCGCACTCCGGGAAATACATCATATATATTATAGAGAGAGAGAAAGTGCGGGGCCATAAGTCGGCTCGCGAAATTTTTCATTCCAATTTACGCGATAGGGCCTATGGCGTTATACGTCAAAGTCTCTGTCGCCGCCGCAGCAGCAGCAGCAGCTGATATAAATAATTCATGTGCGAATATGAATTCGAGCTCGCAGTAAAGAGAGAGAGACTTACTTATTGTATTTACCGGGAGAGCTCGAGTCGCGAAATAATACTTTAGAAATATTATAGAGCGCGCGCATTATTATTATACGTCGTCTCTTCGATGCACGTATGTTCAGCAGCAGCGGCAGGGCACGAGATTCGAAATTTCGCCGTATCGCGTCATGAGCTTTCGGCGCGAGATTTTAACGCGATTACGGTACGCGGCGCGGTGCGATACGCCGGGGATCTATATGCTAATGGTTGTTGGCGCGTTACATATCTATATCACGCGCAACAATATGTGCATATATGTATAGTAACGGTAACCGATGCCATAAGTTTCTCAATGCTCCATAATAGTAGCGAAAGCCGACGGCGTTAACGCGAGGATAGCTCGACTGTCTCGCATGTCTGGCCTGTTAGTATGGTCCTCTCCTCGTAGTTTTCAAACTCCATTTTGATAATGCGCGACGTGAGCTGATATAGTCTCGGCCAGTGGCAAATACTCTCGCTCTCTATACTATACAGCCTCTCTTTCCCTCTGGCGCCTCTGCGTAGCGTATATATATGTTTGTGCGCGTCGTGTATACACGAGGCTTAAACGCGCGGCCGCTCGCCCAAGACAAAACACGAAAATTTCGCGTCGCAGACGATGACGAAGACTACGGCGACTCAGCGGCTTAAAAACTCATTTTAATAAATAAAAAAGCAAAATTGTAAAGCGGTAAATATGCCCGGTACTGCTGCTGCTGCTGCTGCTGCTGCTGGCCAGGACTGTACGCGTGGCGATACATAAAGCTTTATTAAATTTTCGTTGGAAGCTTTTGGCTTTGGAAGCAAAGCGAGCGGAAAGAAGCCCGGGTAAAAAAAAAGGAAAAAGAAAGAGAAGAACGCGCGGCAAGAATTAAAAGTCACGAGCGGGTACTTTTCATCTAATTGCGTGAAAATCCGTCTTCATAAAGAGTCAGTAGGTTTCCGGGGGTGTTATAACGAATCGAGGCTCGAGGCTCGGCTGGAGATGTACAGAGAAACCGACCGAGAGAGAGAGAGAAAAAAAAAGGGAAAATTAAAGAAATAAGAGAGATGGAATATATAGGCTGTATACGTACAGCGATGTTGAAGGGGGAAAAAAGAGACGAAGAAGAAGAAGACGAAAGTCGAGCGCGCCGCACGTCGGGCTTGGTGGTTGTACTGCTGCTCTGCCTGCAGTACAAATAATATACTATAGATATATATGTAAGTACAGTCGGTGTTTTCTCGAGGATCGACGTGCTTCGACTGCCTAAACTGCGATATGTCAACGCTATTTATTTCTTGCCCCCCGATATAGTACCTGGGTATTTGTTTTCGGTTCTTTACCTTTGTCAAAAGTCGAGCGCAGCATAGCGATGATCATTGCAAATGAAAAGAAAAAATTGTTTTAGTATAACTTCTCATCAATATGAAATTTTTTACAAGGAATGCGCAGTGCTTGACTAGATCAGGATTGCACCACAGGTATATAGGCGAAGTTCTCTGCATTAAAGAGCACAGCAACAGCAATAACAAGCAAACCTCGGAGAGCTTTCTCGTCTCCCTCTCGGCTTGACTTTTCCACGCGTGTTTTTAATCATCGTTAAAGCTCTCCTCGCCCCTCGCTCCAGCATAGACAGTGAAGTACGGAAAGCGAGTGAGAGAAACATAATATCTAATTAATTCGAAAGTAGCTGCTGTATGTACAATCGTACGCGAACGAGCGGGCCTGTCGCGGCGTATTAACTCTCGCACATCGCAGCTCGGCACACGACGACTCGTCGAGTTTCAGCTCTCTCTGCTGTGCGAGCATAACTCGCCCACCCGCGCGTAGTACGCGCAGTTTGAGAAGTTTATATTGCATCGGTATATACTTTGTCAACGTTCGAAACTAAAATTCGTAAAATAAAATAAGGAAACAGGGTAAAAGGAAGAAGAGATGAGTAAGAAAATTTATACGTATGTGTGTACGTTCGAAACGATCGCTATGCTGCAGTCAAGTTGAAAAGAGAGAAAAGAGATTAGTTTTTGCGCGCGTTGAATAGTTTCTTGATGATCAATGAGTGTGCGTGTATATGTAATAAATAAAATACGTTCGTCTCTCTATATTCGTTTATACTCCTGCCGCGTGTGTATATCGCTGGAGAGACGATCCACTCGCAGCAGCAGTAAAATCAATTGACGAAAGAGCCTATATACACTCGCGCTTATATACACTCGAAATCCCTTTTTTCAATCACATTTCATACTTGCCGGGTTCTATTGAGTCATATACAGGCGGCAGCGACTGGAAGTAGTACCGCTACGTACGTATACGTACGTACATGTACTCGTAGGTATACCTACTCGCGCGAGCGTAGCTCAAATCAAATGTTAGGGGCTTTTTTCTCTCGCTCGAGCTCTCATCTCCTCGTCTTCGATGGGCACACGAGCGCGCGCGCACACACATAACTCTGACGCTAATCCAGATTATCTCTCTTTTTATCCGTCCGCGTGTATGGAATATAGCTCGGAGTACGTGGCGCTACGCATGCGTATACATTTACAATGTGCGTGTGCGTGTATGTAAGGTAATGACGACGAGTATGTACTGTACTACCTTGGCGACATGCAATTTCAAGATAAAATGCCGAGGATTAGAGAGAGAGAAAGAAAGTAAGAGTAAAGAGGGAAAGAAAAAAAATCATCTTACTTCACTCTTATATTATACGAGTTATAGAGAGAGAGAGAGAGAGAGAGAGAGAGAGCGAGAGAGAGAGAGAGAGAGAGAGAGTAATATTGCAATCTAAGGGCATTTAAACGTTATTAATCAAGGTAATGGGGCCCCAGGTACAGCTGCGCGCGAGAGCAGCTAGTACCGCACCGGCAGCAGTGTGTATAACCCATCAACGCGCTGGCAATAAAGTCTAATTGACGCTCGCTCGCCCGCGCACTGCAGCCTAGTGAGAGAGTGAGAGAGAGCAAAAAAAAAAGAGAGGGATTTTTTCACACCAGGCTGATCTTGGCGCCGCCCGCGCGCGCGAAGGCCACCACCACCGCCACACGCTTGGGATTTATTAGCCCGCGATGGACTCTGTACGACGAGTTTTTCTTTTTTTTTCGCTCTCTCTCTCTCCATCTGCTTCTATTTCAGCCCCCGTGTGCCCACTAAAAATCTCTCTCTCCAACCCCCGCCTCTGAATAGTGAGAGAGAGAGAGAGAGAGGATCGGCGGGCGAAAAGCTTTTACCACTCTTTCGTTCTCGTAGCGCGTCATTTTCCTTTTCATCTTGTACGCCGCCACCGAGCTCGCCGAGCACAACGAGAGAGAGAGAGAGAGAGAGAGAGAGATCTCTTTTCTTCCCTTTACTTTTTCATTCTCTATATACGATCTATATACGCCTGTGTGTCGAGTGTGTCCGGGCAGGTGGGAAACGCCAGCGGCACGCCTAATTACTGTCAACGTGCTCTGTGAGCTGTCGCGCGCCGTTCGATCGACGCCTATATATAATAAAAAAAAGTATATCGGAAAATATCAAAGCCGTGTGACTCTGGAATAAAGAGCTTCGCGGCGCGATATAAAATAATAATGATATTCTCGTGTCGAAGCGAATTTCTATTCGACACATTGTACGATGATATTATATAGGCAGCAGCAGCACGGGTGTAAAATGAGCGTCGAGACATTGACCACATATGTACAAGAGTGTTTATATGTACGTGCGGTCTGACGGCAACACGTATTGTGTACGGCCTAGCATCTCTCTCGTCGTCGTCCAAGTCTCGAGTGTATATAATGCGCTGATCGATATTTAGCGGCAAATTACCTACTTAAATATACATGAATTTCGACGCCTTGCCTCGAGTTTCTCATCATTCACCGAGCAGTATATAAGCCTCTGTGTGTGGGTGAATGTGTATACATGTACAATATGTAGGTTCGAGAGCCACGATGTATACACGACGTAGATCGAGATATTTGCAATGTTGCGCTGCTTGAAAATGTAACGAAATTTCGAGAGAAACGATGAAAATAAACTGCTATCAAGTCATTGTCAAAGAGCTTCTTCATAAAGAGAAATGTTATTTTTATGAATGACCACTAATATAAAAAGAGGGTGCGCTGAGAGTACATTGTACATTTAAAGACACAATATTTCGATCTTTTAAAAAAAAAAAAAAACGAAAATTTTGTTCATTTTGGAATGAATATTACCAAACTAGTTCTCCTGATTTCATCATTGCAACAATCGGTAATAAATGCCATTAATTTCAATCGAATGTAACGTCATCATAGAGCTCCCTTTACTTTTGCAAGGAATCAAAATAAAAGGAGGAAAATAAAGAAATGCAAGATTGAGACTTACGTATGTCTCGAATGCATCGGCCACGTAAACGCCTCGGGTGTAAAAATGTGCAACGCGTGTATAAAAGCTCATCGTGTCTTATAGACTCTCGGAAACACAAAGTTGCTGCTTTCTCGTACACATGCATACATAAATGCGCACCACGAGCGAGACTCATTATCAGGGTCAATGGTAATAATAAATACGCGCGCATCGAAAGCGCAACATAGTCGCGCACATTATATCGCTATCCAGGTACAATACAATAATAAAAGACAAACGGAATACATAATATGCAAAAGCTTATGAGCTTCGTGAGTCGATCATTCTCGCGTGAGCTTCGAGCTCGAGTAGTTTGATAGAGACAATAGCAGTTGGAGCGTACACGATCCAAGGGATATTTAACTGCAAAAATTCAAAATTGCTAAAATCATCGGTGCGAACGCAGTCGACGTAATCGCGGACTATTTCAACCGATCCAAGATATTCAAATTCGTCCAGGATTATTCGATCGTTCGGTTGATAAAAAAAAGTGTCAAGATGCAGAGGATGATGAAGTTCGGTATCGGCGGAGTGAGCCTGTTCACTTTCGGAGTCCTGTTTGGCTGGGTGCTGTTCCCGATGCTCTTGAAAACCATGATTCATAAAGTGAGTTGTAACATTATGTAAGCCGTCTCAGAAAAGAGAAAAGGACTTGAAAAAAATTGATCTAATTAGTAAGCAAACAATAGTGACGCTTCGAAAAAAATAACACGAGTCAAGTACTTAGGGGGTGACGAACTGCTCTTCAAAGTTTCCCATGTGTCAAAGTCACTTCGCGCGATTAACCTCGTATGGATTTAGATGTGTTTTACGGTTCGATGTACAGATTTCAGATTGAGATTAGATGTGTTTGTCGTCCTATTCAAAATAAAACTGCGTAACGATGCCTTTTGAATTGACAGGATCGAGTTTTTTTCCATTATTATTTGAATTTTTTTTTCTTCCGAACGGGTCGAAGCTAAGCTTTATCATCGACACATTAATTATTTTGAAAAATGATTTCGAATTTATACGCGATTATTCGATGAAAATGAACTCGGCACCTGTGCTCCTCTACGGGTTAATAAATGAAGTCCGGTTTTTATTTTTCTTTATTTTTCGTATTACGAGCAAAATTCAGGCATACTTAATTACAATATTATACATCCTGATAGGGTATCCACGAGTCCGAGTCAGTCCAGTGAGCCCCGTGTCAAAGAGATACAGATTATAAAATAGATTAACGTTTCCTAACTCGCACGCGTTAATAATAAAAAGTGTTTTTTGCAGGCGGCTTACGTCATACGCGCTGAATTAAAATTTTTTAATCATACGCAACTCCGCTGCTGCCGTTGCTGCATGCGTCCTAAATGAAATATATATAATATTGAAGAATATCTCATAAAAATTTCATCGAGTTAATTGAAAAAAAATTAATATTTTCACGAATATTTAAGAGCGTGTCAAAGAAGCGCGCTTTTGAAGTAGGTACAACGATATATAATGCCAATGACGCGCTTGTTTCGCTTAATAATAAACGTAATGATAATGCAGAAAGTCGGCCTGGAATTTTTATACCATTGGAATATTCAAGTGCAGCCGTACACATAATAATATCGCATCGATTGCAGGTGTCGGAAATATATACTATATATTCTTACATACTAACTTTTTTTATATATATTTCAAGCTCGACACAGTGTCGAGTAGCGACACTCGAGGGCGGCAACGCGGCTAACGGCGCGCGACAATTGGCTATAGAATTAATTTGTTATAAACGCTATCATTATCATTATATATACCATCGCTCGGGCTAGCTTGGAGAGCTCCTTGAACTTTTTGTCGAAGAGATTCGTACGTCGAACGCGTTGCATGGATACATTTTAATCAACTTTTTTTTTTCCTCGTTCGCTTTTTCGCGCGCAGCAAATAGCGTTGAAGGACGGAGGCCCTACCCGCGCCCTGTGGAGCAAATTTCCGTTCGCGCTCGAGTTTAGAGTCTATTTGTTCAACGTCACGAATGCGGAGGAGATCAAGAACGGAGCCAAGCCGATACTCAATCAAGTTGGGCCGTACTTTTTCGAGTGAGATATATGACATTTACGATAGCATTTATATAAACGTGAATTTAAATTAAAAAAAAAAAATTATTTACGACAGAGAATGGCAAGAGAAGGTGAATCTCGAAGATCGCGAAGAGGACGACACGGTGGAGTACGCCATCAAGAACAAATGGATCTTCGTGCCGGAAATGAGCGAGGGACTGACCGGCGACGAGGAGCTCATGCTGCCGCACGTCTTCATCCTCGTCATGATCATGGGAACCGTGAGAGACAAACCAGCCGCACTGCCCATCGTGAGTAAGTACACACATCGCGCGTTATACAATTACCGAATTTCTACTTTTTCCTTTTCTTATCTCGTCTCTCCTGTCTTTCTTGCTCGCGCAGACAAAGCCGTTAACAGCATATTCAAGAATCCCTCGAACGTCTTCGTGAAGGCGAAGGCCATGGATCTGATGTTCAACGGGCTGCCGATCGACTGTCGGGTGTCGGACTTTGCCGGCACCGCCGTCTGCGCCGAGCTCAAGAAGCAGGCCGAGCTGGGTAACCTGCAAATCGAAGGCCCGGATCAGTACAGATTTTCTCTCCTCGGAGCGGTGGGTATACTCTCCGCATGTATAAGTAGCAAACACCGAGAGGCTTTCAACGTTAACGCCTAGTGCTCTTCCAGTTATTTTTTCATGAAAAAAATTACTTTGCAATTCTGCAAATTTTCTCATTATTTTTAGTTTGAGAACGCTTTATTAATACGATGTAGTGCACACGTTGCTGAAAAAACGCTGATCTTTAATAGATTCGCCTTGACAATTTGGGTAAATTAATGGAAGTTTGTTGTAGAACTAATCAAATTCGTATCAATTGTAAATCGATCCTACTTAATGCACAAACTTTGCCTTTTCGCTTTTGGTTTTTAAGAATTCTGTCATGCGCCACCTAGCGGTAACTTATGATCTCTACGTACCTGAAAAAATTGCTTGCCTCAGTCCTCCGTATATTAATATATTGTATTTTCCAAGCATTTTGCTTTATTTTTAATGAAAGTATTGTAATTAAATTTTACCAAATAACAGTCGTATTCAAGTCTGTACTTGAAAATTCACACGTTGGTCAAATAACTATACAGTATATTTACTTTACATTTAATATCAGTACCGTTTCATCTAGTACTTTATTTTTCACAAAAAAATCACTGATTTTTAAGTGTAATTTTAAAGTTAATATACTGTAAAACGTCATAAAAGTATGTGTACTCTAATATTCCGGTACAAACGTCCACGAAAATTACATATTCGAACTTGACAAATCATTTTTACTCCGATACATCTATACCAATGCGTTTTTATACATTCCAGAAAAACGATACGCCCGCCGCGAAGCGCGTGCGCGTTCTGCGCGGCATCAAGAAGCTCAACGACGTCGGCGTGGTCGTCGGGTTCGACGGCAGGTCCAACATATCGACGTGGGACGACGACTTTTGCGACCGGTTCAACGGCACCGACGGCACGATCTTCCATCCGTGGCTGTACGAGAACGAGGACGTCGTGTCGTTCGCGCCCGATCTCTGCCGCAGCCTCAGCACGACCTTTCAACAGCACACCAGCGTGGCGGGTGGGAAAGGAGTTTGACACCTCTTTTTCTTCTATCTCTCTCTCGTTTTTTCTCTTATCGATAACGATGATCGCGATGATTCTGTGTGCTCGTGACAGGTCTGAAGACAAATCGATACGTGGCGTTTTTGGGCGATCCCCAGCAGAGCCCCGAGCAGAGATGCTACTGTCCTGCGCCGGACAAGTGCCTCAAGGCCGGAGTCATGGATCTGCACAAGTGCCTGGGTGCGCCCATGGTCGCGTCGCATCCGCACTTCTATCTCGGCGACAAAGAGTACCTAAGCATGGTCGACGGCCTGAATCCTTCCGAGGTATTAAATTCGTACAAATGCACGAAAATCAAATGATTATACAGGTTCGATCAACCCACAGGAGAATCACGGGATATTTCTGGACTTCGAGCCGTTCACCGGCTCGCCTCTGAGCGCTCGCAAGCGCCTCCAGTTCAACATCTTCATCACCAAGGTCGACAAGTTCAAGGTCATGAAGAACTTCCCGGACGCGTTGCTGCCGCTGTTCTGGGTCGAGGAGGGCGTCGTGATGCCCGACTGGCTGCTCAAGCAGGTCAAGATGGGCCACACCATGGTGAAGATCGTCAAGTACATGAAGTGGACGATGGTCCTGGGCGGACTGGGCCTGTGCGCGTTCGCCGGCTATCTCTACTATCAGGGCCAGAGGAAGGCCGTCGAGATCGAGCGGGTCGAGGCCAACGGCGCGATGAAGCCGGGCAGCACCGAGAAAATCGCGCCCCTCAACGTGAGTTCGCTGCACTCGGTGCGAGTACCGGTCATGGTCGATTGAATGATTCGACGAGAGTAAAGATAAAAAAAATGAAACGAAGAAGTATAGATCTCGAAGAGTAATTTGTTGTTATATCAATTGACGAAGCAACATTTCTTTTATTCAAAATATTTTTCTACGTAGAATAGTTTACAGATATAATTATAATGTTAATTAAAGTTGCCTATTACCTTGCGTTATGCAGAATCCGAAGCGATGTATATTTTTAAAACTCTCAGAATAACGTGTCTAGTTTTTCTCTCTTTATATTATAACGATAAATGTCACGTTACATTGATGCATTTGTATGAAAAGGTAGCTCTTAATTTGTAACTTTCAACTCCATGTACGTCTATTTGCGTAGAGACAATAGCCTGTTACATACAAAACAAAAGACAGTTAATATACAATTATCATGCGACACTAATTAGGTTATTATTCCAATGTCATATTATACATAGTTAGTATCACATTATAAATTTAAATTGTACTCGATTGAACTCCGACACGCGAATTAATTGAGATGTGTCTCGATATACCGAACGCGAGGAAATTACTCATGACTTATTCGTTATGTATAAAAAAAATGTTTATTTTGAAATAAAGTATATTTTACATTTGCTTTAACGAAACGGCGCTGTTCTTGTTTTCATTGATACCCGACCCGATCAAAGACAATATTTCACATTTACATTTTTTCGCAAAAAAATACAAGCTCACTCGATATCCACACCGCGATAGAGAAAAAAGTGTTGGTTATAAATTTCAATGAACGCGGCTTTATTAATTACACGTATGCGAATCGAACAACATGTCAATTCCGTCGCACGTATATAGTAAGATCAACCATGAAAGAATCGTTTATTTTTCAATCTATGTTTGCAAAAAAAAAAAAAAAATGAACGCGACCGGAGAGCGTAAAACGCTCGCACGCGCGTACGTTCCGAAAAAATCTGCGGCAAAAAAAAACGATTTGAAAAAATAATTACACATGATTGCCACGATGATACGTCCGAAACGTCGTTACATCGGAATCGTAATTCCCCAACGTGTGTCTCTCTCTCTCTTACGCCGCTAAAAATACGACAAAGCCTTACATCACTTCTGCGTATAGGTGAGAGAGAGAGAGAGAGAGAGAGACACGGAGGAAGAAGAAGAAAAAAAACCGATGGCAAAAGAACATTACTACCACTCGGCCCCCAGAGCCTACCTACTATATGCTCGAAATGTATCAAATGCCTCGTAGTCTTGACAAATGCAGCATCGTACTTAGCCGCAGCGCAGCGTCGTCGTCCTCGTGATATGTGACAATTTCTTGGCGACGCGGCAGAAACATGAGTGCGCGCACGCGGTGCCATCAATACTCGTTGCATCAAGGTCGAGAAGACGCAAAACAGTTCCGTGTGCTTCTTTTTACCCGAAAATGAGTGATTGACGCAATTCGAGCGAATTACAGACGTAATTTGAAGAAAAAAACCAAAGACTATCTAGTTAGCAAAAATGAAGTTCAAAATCGATCGGCCGTTCAAGTATACCTTTTCCGGTGTATCGACGGTGGTGCTCGGTATTTTGGTCGGATGGGTCTTCTTTCCGATGCTTTTGGAGCAACAAACACACGCAGTGAGTTTCTTTCCTTTTTGTTCAATCGTTGCATAATCGTTTGAAATTTCATCCTTTGTTTCTTCAAATTAAAAGTTTTTCGCGTCGAGTAGTAGAGAGAAAAAAATAGGTTTTTTTTCCTTTTTTTGCAGCAGCGAATTGTATAAATTGAAACTTTTTTTTTTGTTACACACGCACAAAGCCGAGAAGTACTGCGCCGCGTAACTTTTGCCCTTTCACGCGCGCGCGTTAGATCAAAGTTTTAATTAAATGAAAAAATACCTGCACTTTATATAAATAATCTTTTGTAGCAAGTTAACTTGAAAGAGGGCGGAGAGATGAGGGATATTTGGAGCAAATTTCCATTTCCCCTTGAGTTCAAAGTTTTTTTATTTAACATAACAAATCCCGACGAGATCGAGAACGGAGAAAAACCAAGAGTGCAGCAAGTCGGACCCTACTTTTTCGAGTAAGTTTTTTTTCTCTCGCAATTTCTAACAACAATACAACTCAACTGTCGTACATTTATCGAATCCTTGCGACTCTGCGTTGAAATGACAATTTATAGAGAGTGGCAGGAAAAAGTCGATCTGGCCGATCGCGAGGAAGACGACTCGGTCGAGTACGCCCTGAAGAACAAATGGATCTTCGTGCCGGAGAAAAGCGAGGGACTGACTGGAAACGAAGAATTAGTTCTGCCTCACTTGTTCATACTGAGCCTGGCCATGACCGTCTCTCGAACGATGCCAAAGTCCATGGCATTAGCTAGTAAGCGCTTGTACACTACTACTACTACTGTGATACAGTTTTTTGCACGCTATACGCACACCGGCGCAAAATTCGATACGCTTCCCGCTTTTTTCCGTGTGCGTTTTCTACAACAATTTTTCACTTTTCCGCGCAATGTACAACAGATAAAGCGATCGACAGCATTTTCAAGCATCCGACCTCGTTGTTTCAAAAAATGACGGCTATGGATTTTCTGTTCGACGGCCTGCCCGTCGACTGCACGGTGGAGGATTTCGCCGGGACTGCGGTCTGCAGCCGCGTCAAAGAACAGGCCGAGGGCACTCTCCGGCCGGATGGTACCGATAGGTACAGATTTTCGCTGTTGGGAGCGGTACGATAACATTTTTTTTTTCTCTCCACCCCAAAAATTCCGACGTTACGATTGAACTGATCTTGTTTCGTCGATCGACTATTTTTTTTTTTACTTTTTTTTGGGGCTTGAAATTTTCCACAGAGAAACGATACAGCGGTGAAAAAACGAGTTCGCGTGAAGCGCGGCATCGAGGTCGTGAACGAGATCGGCCTGGTAACCGAGTGGGATGGAAAGCCGAGTATAGCCAAGTGGAACGATACGTACTGCGACGCTTTGAACGGCACCGATGGCACGATATTTCACCCTCAGCTCTTCGAGACCGAGAACTTGGTGAGCTTCTCGCCGGAGCTCTGTCGCAGTCTGTCGGCTACTTTTGAGGAAAAATCCTCGGTCGAAGGTAAAAAAAAAATCAGGCAGTGCGACATTGTTGCAGATCGAGGAGATAATAAATTATTCAATTCGCAGGTGTGCCAACGAATCGGTACGGTATATTTTTAGGCGATCCGAATACGGATCCTTCCCAAAGATGTTACTGTCCTTCTCCGGATAATTGTCTCAAAGCCGGAGTCATGGATCTTTTCAAGTGCACAGAAGTTCCCCTGGTCGCTTCTCACCCTCATTTCTATCTCGCTGATCCGGAATATCTGCAAATGGTCGATGGTCTCGATCCATCCAAGGTTCGTACTTGTTTTAAATTTATTCGCATCTATTTTTTTTTTTTTTCGTTATCTATCATCTTTGATAACGAAAAATTTATGTGACGCAATAGGATGAGCATGCAGTAATCGTTGACTTCGAGCCAATCACTGGAACTCCTTTGAACGCGAGAAAACGTTTGCAGTATAACATGATGGTACACAAAGTCGATAAATTACGCCTCATGCATAATTTCTCCGAAGCTCTATTGCCGCTGTTCTGGGTGGAAGAAGCGGTAGTGCTGCCGGAAGACTTGATGGCCAAAATCAAGATGGCACTTTTGTTTCTGACCGTATCTGCGTAAGTACCATGCAAAATGTTCTCAATAGCCGAACATCAGAGGGACTTTTTTCATTTATAATTTTGATACTTTTGCAGCTATCTGCTTTGGATACAGATTATCGTTGGCCTGTGCTTAACGGCATTCGGCGGTTATCTCTATTACAAGGCTCGTCGCACTTCTCATAGCTTTACCATAAATAAAAAGAGAAAACACAAGTCGGGTGGCACCGAAAGAAACTATACGTTTTGAATAATAAAAATCACGTTCACAGGGCCCGTAAAGTTTTGATTTCTTATTTTAGAATAATAGAAGAATTTTTACTAGCCAGCTTGTACATAGCAATTACGATACATTACATCGCGACAACGAAGTAAAGAATACGTTGTACAACTTTTTATGAATAAAAGATGTATTTAAAAAAAAAAAACACGGACTTTTTCATCGTGAATTTGTTATGTATATCGTGCACAGCTAGCTGCAGAACTGCTTTGTATCAATTTCAATGCAAAACTTCAAACAATACCTTCGTCGACGACTACGACGACGACGATGGCCGCGGGAACCGACGTATACAATAAACGAGATCGAGCGGCGAAGAATTAAAAATATCAACAACAAGGAACAACCGAGAGAATAGCAGAGGAGGACTGCACTACTGAGAGAGAGAAAGAGAGAGAGAGAGAGAGTCTGCTCAAGACTTATACCTACGTGTGCTGTGCACGCAACAGCAGCAGCAGAAAAGCAGAGTATCAAAGGCGCCGTGTCGGTCGGTCGGTCGTCGTGCTCTCGACGCGAGCGGCGCTTCACGAAGCATCATCCCTCTCATCTTTTCGGTTTCACCCTCGGGTTTTAAAAGAAAAGCTGATTTAGGGTTGCGTTGCTGTACCGAGGCTGAAGCAAATGTAGCGCATAATTTAGAGAGGCTGAGGCGGCGGCGGCAGAAGCAGATGCTCCAGCAGATAAATACCTTCGACGGATCGACCCATCGATCTGTTGTGGGTCTTTTGTTTTTTTTTTTCTTCTTATATTTATGCTGCTGTCGCTAACATTGGTATATCGTATATGCTGCGAAGAGTTGAAAAGTGTCATTCGTTCGCATTATCGCTTACGTGGTACGAACTTTTATGTAATACAGAGCAGCAGAGTTAATAACAGCGGAATAACTGGTTTACTACGATAGTTTTCTCGCTAATGTGTAGCGCGCGTTTTTTGCTTCGTTGACACTTTTTTTGCAACTTCGAAATCATCGAATCGATCGCGCGCGAGAAAATTTTCCGAAATTTCCATCAAATTTCTCCGATTCGATTTCGTTCGCGAAAAACTGGGTCGAATTCACGACGCGAATTTCTGCACTAGCTTTCGCAAGGACGAGGTGGCCGAGTGGTTAAGGCGTTGGACTGCTAATCCAATGTGCTCTGCACGCGTGGGTTCGAATCCCATCCTCGTCGGACCTTTTTTTTGCACTTTTTTGCGCTTTTATTCGGCATCGCGCTTGGCGCGACGATATATATTCTTTATTTTTGCGATATTTATTTTTATTTATTAAACAATTAAGATAAATATAACATTTCAAAATTTTGATTGCTAATTCATTGTATTTTTTTCTTGGTTTTTATAACTCTTCATAATAGCCTAATCATTTTTATTAACTTTCCTTTAACATTTTCCTTGTAATCTTTCCTTTAAACTGTTCTACAAGCTTAATTTGAGATAATTTATTATCAAAAATATCGCTAAAAAATATGTTAATAATTGCAAATTAATTCGAGTAAAAAGTTGTTTACTCTCCAAGCGGAGCGCCTCGCATTTTGCATCTACAAAGACTGAACTTTGTTGCTCGAACGATTTGATGCTTGAAATAATAAATTATAATATTCAAAGTAGCTAACTAGTAAGCCTAGTTACACAATTTTCCTCAACAATTAGTATATTCCCTCGCGATTCGTCGATTCGCTCGAAAAAATGTACATCCTTTAATCTCTCCGCGTATAGCTTTCGACGCGTCCTTTCGCACCTTTACATCGCGTACTCCGGTACACAACAAAGTAATCCTCGCGCGCATTGAGTCGTCGAAGCGAGTGAGCACACGGAGCATCGTTGTTTATTGTTTGGAAAAGAATGAGCTTATTCTTGCACGAGTTCACTGTTGTATGCCGCGCTGCGTAGTGTTATGTATTATGTGCGCGTGTAAGAGGCTGTGCTCCGCGACGCTTATTCCACTTCCTTCGAGGGCTCATTGACGCGTTGCGGCGGTGGCTGCGACGACGACGACGGCACGCGCGCCCACGGACGTATATAACCCTTTAACAAGTGTGCATTTGTGCAGTTCGTTGCCCCTCGCGCGAGCGCACTCCTGCACACGGAGAGAGAGAGAGAGAAAAGAGAAGAAAGAAAAAAAAAAGAGAGCAACGCGTGACCGATTGGGCGACCTTTTGTGCGCGACGTAGACGTGGTTCGGGAGAAGATCGACGGTGAAAGAAAAAAATTGAATTTGAAGAGTAAACATTTTTTTTTCATAGATCTTACAAGTGTTTCTGTACGTTTACTCGATCGATTAGATAGCTAGCGTTGAAAATATCGTTTCTGCGATAGCGGGTCGAAAACAATCTGCGTTCGTTTGAAAAATTTTCCGGCTTCGCGCAAACACGTGCGCGACATATTCGAAGACGACCCAACCCTGTATATATATCAGGAAACGAATGGCTTTCCTCTAAATGGGAAAAGCGGCAGCGAAGGCGCGACGAAGATGTGCTGCACGTCGTCGTCGGCCCGAGTGGAGCCGCGCCGATTGGTGGAGCGCGCGTATAACAAACTCGAGCGGCGAACATCTCAAAAAGCATAAAACACGACACGAACTTTTCGTTGGGTCGATGCGGTGTATGGTGTGTGTCTCTCGTGCGCCGAGCTTGTATATACGGTAGTATAACGCGATCGATGCGAGCTTTTTTTTTCTCGCTCGAGACGCGTTCCATTGAGCATTTGTTTTATTGCGCGCGGTCGACGAGGACAGCCTTGCACGAAAGATTTGATTTCTTTTTTGTGTGTGTATGTTTCAGCTTTTTTCATCACCGAGAGTAATACGTAAGAAATTAGTATTTTTGACACGGATCAATTTAAAAATGTAATTAAACGCCTCAGTAAATTCTACTTAGGTAAAAAGTTAGCATTGACTGGAAATTATTCAACTAGATGGTGAATTTTTTTGTTATTATTGATTAAACAAATGTGTCATAGCAAAATTGCAAAATAATTCACAAAATCGCCCATGTCGTCGTTGCAGAGGGGCCCAAGTAAAATCTACTCGGGTGCTTTATATTTTCACCATCTACTTTTTTTCCTCATTGTACTTCTTCTTTTTATTGATAAAAAATCATCAAATGATTAAGCAAGGATACAATTGTAAATGTTCACCGATGAAAAGAAGCTAAACGCGTTAGTGTAATTCACGCCTTTAAATCGAGCGATATAATTAATTTAACTTTTCAGTTCACAAACCCGTGAAAAAATTATTGCAAAACCGTTTTGTAACGCCAACATTACTTAATGCTCTCATGAAGATTCATGTGTGAAAAAAAACAAGCAATAACCGAGTAATTTTATTATCTCTCGCATAGTAGGGTAATTATCTTACTCCATAGTCATCGCGATTACACGTACGAAAACCTCGCTTACATTTTTTTTCTTTCTCCATCGAGCTTTTTCCATCCTTTGTCATGCATATATAAGATAATTTCCAAGAGCCGAGCGAATTATTCGCCCATTTTTCACGTTATATTATACAGTCGTCTAGCGCGTGTGCTTACACATTCGCGCGATATACATATAGTTCCCTCGCGCTTAATGTAAAAATTATACGTTAAAACCGAAAAATCCTCATTATTTCCTTCCTCGCCTTTCCTCGGTTTCTGTATATATATGCTCGTGAGTTGAAATCGGTGGTATAACGTCGATAATAGAGCAGTCGATGTTACGCTCGCTCGCTCGCGCGCAAGCGGAAGCGTTTAAATACCATTCTATAGCCCATTTTATAAAACCGCAGGCTCCACTTATCACTCTCGGGTGCTTGCAACGCCGAGAACAAACCCGATGAATCGTGTGCTCGCACACATGTGCTACACCGCTGTCTCTCTCTCTCTATATATAGTACCTTTTACGATTCGAGAGGTATGTAATTGCGATTAATTAGAGACACGATCCAAGTGTAAATCCAAACGAGTAGCAGCAGCAGCAGCAGCGGTGCTAGTATAGTAGTATGCACGAGGATCATCCGGTATTAAATTTGTCCGAGGCTGCTGCTGCTGTTCTCTCCCTGCGTATATAGCCCATATATAGCCCAGGCCAGGGCTCTCTCGCCGACAATACAATGCGAGAATTTACGAGTAAAACGTTATACTGGACCTCGCGCGTGCAAGCTCGTATGTGTACGCGCTTATATAGAATATACTCTCGACTGTTGCTGCTGCTGCTGCTGGACCAATTACCATGAGTGTATGTGTGTGTACGTCTTTGTATGGCTATAGTTAGGGGTTTGTGTTTGTGTGTGTGTGCGCACTGCATCCACCGGTGTGCATTAATCCGCTTAATTAAAGATTACGCGAGGAATTTTCGTGCACATATCGTTTTGTCTTATTGTCGTGCCATCCGCTGCTGGCGCTGTACGGTATAATCGTCGCGAGCGCTCGTATACGCGCCGCAGCGGTGCCTACTATCAGCTCTCTCTCTCTCTCTCTCTCTCTCTCTGTCTCTCTCTGTAAGTGCAGCTGACGCCCCCCGGTATTACGCATATAATTATCAATATAAACTCCCCGGCCAAGCCCAATAATGCAGCATACATCCCCGCTCATTGAATGATTAAATCGATCATTAATTAAATTCGATTTAACGATCCGAAATCTGCGAGTGCGTGTTGGCCGTCTGTGCGTGCGTACACGATACACGGTATTATAACGTTGAAGCCGCAAATTCTTTTGCACCCACGCGCGCTCGAGATATGCGCGAGAGTCGCAGAGGAGGAAAAAAAATTTTTTTTTGCGGTAATAGAACGCGTATACGATGTCTAGTCGTCGTCGGGTGTGTCTCTCGTATACGTCGTCTCGGGGTCGCAACTCAATTACTACGTGGCTCATTAACTCCCCGCGGTGAGTGCGCATTCCGGAGTCTTTTGTGTGTGCAGAGCTCTGCTCGCTCTTCTGTACGTACCATACGTATGGTATACGTGGTATGGTAGGTAGGAGGATGCGTGAGCGCTGATTGTTTGGAAAAAAACTTTCGGAATATAATATATACGTATACGGTTATAGTACAGCAGATGGAATTACCTGCAAAGTTTTGAAATGAAAAGTTCGCTTCTATCTCTTTTTATATAATACGCATATATCGCGCGCAGTCGGAACAGAACAAGTTGACGT